TCTTTTTCTGTATCATAATAAAACTGCCCAAGATGACCACCTGTCAAAGACAGGTAATTTCCTTCTTGATAAGTGGTGGCCGTTTTGGAAGATTTCTTCCGCTACATAAGGGGACAGTGGGTGGCATGTCGTGTTTGGGACAAATGTGAGGCAGCGTGGTGGAATCAGGCTCTCGTCAATTTTGGGGCATGTAGAGTTATTGGTATCATCTTAAAGCTTGTTCACTTGTCTTTATTTGGAAGAAAACAATATACATTTATCTTGAATACAAGTCGAGATATTTGCGAAAGAAGGAGGTGGGGGTCACCTGTTTTCAGAGGTAAAATTCGTTAGAAAATGGCCGCCAAAGATTAGTTATTTCCTTAGCTTTAGAGTCTGTGGTAATTGAAAAATTACATTTTTTGTGTCTTTAATCAACGTTTTTCAGAAAAATCAACAGAGAAAGTTCTTTAATGGGCATGGAAGGTGTTGTGCAAAACAAAACAAAAAAGAAAAGTTTCTTCACTTTGATTATTTGACGAGAGCCTGATTCCACCACGCTGCCTCAAAAATTCTCTTTAGGCTCTTTTCACTGATACAGTCATCCCTTGTTCTGTTTGATAGTTATCGGGTTGATCTGTTGTAAATTACTCCTTTATTGTTGTAGACTAGTAGTAATAGACTGATAAGTGAAACAGTTGTGGCACTGTTCCGCTATCTATCTACCTATCTATCTATCTATCTATCTATCTATCTATCGATCTATCGATCGATCGATTAATCAAAACGGTCAAAAAATGTCAGATAGAACTTTGTAAATCTAAAATCGCTCTCTCACACGAATCATCTATCGCTCTCTCACACACATTATCTATCGCTCTCTCACAGGCATTATCTATCGCTCTCTCACACACAAACACAGACACGCCCCTTTTTTACCTCTGCACTTTGCCAATCGGTCAAAGCCCAGAATAATCTCTCATTACTGAAGGGAACGCCTCGGGAAGTGGATACCCGGAAGGTTGCCATCACAGAAATTTTTACAGACGGGGGAAATGGAGGGATCAAGGAGGGATAGACGAGATTGGGCGCTAGTTTACGTCAAGGATTGTGTTACTGGTGCCAAGGGCATTTGTCTAAGTCAATGAACGATCTTTCACGGGGCTCAAACTCGGGCTCGCATGCCATCAATTGTGGCCCTCCGGACGATATTATGTTGAGGCCCCTACTGACATCAGAGTGTAAGTGCAACCCATATGTTTTCACCTAATGAATTAGACATTCATATTGAGGCAAATGTGTAATTTACACCGTTCATAAGGTACAACCTGTTAGGCTCTTCGTCGTTACACTCATATACTCAGAACACCATAGTTTGGTTCCCGTGGGGTAAGAATAATTTTGTGTCGAGTTTATCTCCGTTTTTCTGCTTGGACATTGCATCCCTCTTAGTCTGGGTTGGTTCTGACAGGCAGGGTTGGAAGCCCGTCTTCTAAATTATCTCAATTGTGTCGATGGGGAAGACCAAG